AAAAAAATTGATGAGTTCATTTGAAAAAGCTCAGAGAAAAGAACCTTGAAAATCAAGATACATATGGAGGGGAAAACACATAAGGCTACACTCATCTGACAACAAAAAATCTAGGGGCTGGTGAGATATCTCAGTGGGTAAAAGTGGTTATTACACATGCCTGAATTTCATCCTTGGAACTCATAGTGGAAGGAAAGGACCAACTTCCTACCCTCTGACCTGTGTGTACACACACACACACACACACACACACACACACACACACAAAGAGACTCACTCAAATAATGACTACTGTAAAAAAAATTTAAAACTCTGTCAGGCGTGGCGCACGCCTTTAATCCCAGCACTTGGGAGGCAGAGGCAGGCAGACCTCTGTGAGTTCAAGGCCAGCCTGGTCTACATAGTGAGTTCCAGGACAGCTGGGGCTATAGGGAGACCCTGTCTCAAAAAGACAAAAAAAAAAAAAAAATTTTAAAACTCCTTGAATTCGATCCTTGGAACTCATAGTGGAAGGAGAGGACCAACTCCCTATCCTCTGACCTGTACACACACACACACGCACACGGAGAGACTCACTCAAATAATGAATACTGTAACAATAAAAAATTTAAAACTCCTTGAGTGGATTATTGAATTACAGAAGTAAAATGTGGATCTTGGGACTATAAACCTAAATGGAAGCAATCTACTGTACCTTGGGAAAATTTTTTTTTAATCTTTTTGAGACAGGGTCTTCCTGTAGCCCCAGATGTCCTGGAACTCACTATGTAGACCAGACTGGCCTCGAACTCACAGACATCTGCCTGCCTCTGCCTCCCAAGTGCTGGGATTAAAGGCATATGCCAGCACGCCCCACTGGGAAAATATTTTTAAAGCGTGTGGTATATAGAATTTGTGACCCTCTGTGCTGGCCTGCTTGGATAAAGTTGCCTCATCATCACTGTGTTGTCTTTTACAGAAGAAACTACTTTGCAGACACCAAAATCTAGCCATATGCCTCAGCCTTCAGTGTCATTAGTTAAAACATCACTGTTTTCTTCAAAATTATCTACACCTGATGTTTCAAGTCCCTTTGGGACCCCAGTTGGCTCTAGTGTGGTAAATCGAATGGCTGGAATTTTTGATGTAAACACCTGTTATGGGTCTCCCCAAAGTCCTCAGCTGATAAGAAGAGGGCCTCGATTATGGACTTATACTTCTGGTGAGAGCTGTTTATTCTCTAAAATTTGATATCTCATAGTTGCAGGATCAAATAGCTTAAGTTCTCTCCTTACCATTTTTTTTTAAAATAGATCCGCAAATATCTGAATTCTCTAATCCATTTTCTTGCACCTCTATTACTGCTGAGGGTAAGACCGTGAGACAGCCCAATGTGGTTTACTCCTGGATTCAGAGTAAATGTGAACAGGTAGGATGATTTGTTTACAGGTTTTATGTTTATATATGTACATGTAACATTAAAAAATTAAGATTAAGGATCTCACATCAATAATGTATCTAATGTCAAACTAACCCATTTCAAAACGCTGATTTAGAATTATACAAATCACACTTCATATGGCTTAACCTAATACAAAGCCTTTTATCTGTGAATTCTTTCATTTAAGACATATTTGAGTTTTTAGGCTCTGGGTTAAACAGCAAGCAAAAAAGACCTTGCCCATATAATGTTTACATGTTAGTGAGGAAATAGGTGAGCAAGCAAGTGTATTATGCTATTTTTTGAAACATAGAATGCTACTAATTGGATTAATATAAAGTATATTCTGAATTGTTAAGAACAAAAGTTGCTTCATAGTGTGACATGCTTGTTAACTATAAGATGCATCCAGATCATGTCCATGATATGAAAAATATACGTAAAAGGGGAGAATTTTGATACCTTAAGCATTATATAGAGAAATAGAGCAGATAAGAAAAACAGTTCTTAGGGGCATGAGTACTATTTTATTTGGACTGGTCAGAGAAGTCTCCTTGAAAAGGTGAAATGAGAGACCTGAAGAGAGGATGGGAAGCAAGAAGATCCTTGGGCCTTGAGGAGAAAGTGGGCTTGGCTCATGTGAGAAACAGTGGAAACGAGTGTGGCTGGCGCAGAATGAGGGAGGGACAGAGGAAGGTGGATGGTAGGGTCAGAGGTAGCCGGCGTCAGGGTTTGGGGACCACTTGATGGTGCAGAGATTGCTTTTTCCCTGAGTGAGATGGAAAAAGGCTGTGTGGTTTTGCCCATAGAATGATATGTTTTATATTCTAAAAGATGTTCTCTAGTAATGGACTTGGGGCTAACCTTTTTGAGTCTGGACTTGGGAATCCTAAGCAGGAATGGAAGCTGAGAGGGCTAAAGCTGCAGCAGTCATCTAGTGGGGATAGTGGTGTGTGATGGTTGTAATGGCAGCCATAAGGTGAGATCAGGGTCTAGATAACATTTTCACATAAATGTAATAGGATTTGCTTATAATTTGCTCGTAGTGTGCAGGAGAAAGTGCCAATGTTTACTGTAAGACTTGTCGCTGAGGAACTGGACTTACATAGTTGCAGTTGATTGAGGTAATTTACCACTGATTCTGGAGAAAGATTAGTGGAGGAGGAACTTAGAAGTTTGATTTTGGACATGGCAACTTTGAGACACCTATTTAGATAAGTAAAAATACTAAGTAAAAATTTAAATGTGTATCTAGAGCATAGAGGAAAATTCTAGGGGTGATAATATACATTTGGAAATCATTGGGGTACAGACAGTATTCAAAGCCACAGGACTCATTGCTGTTGCATGTAGCTACAAAACAAAAGAGTTGTAAATCAGGCCCTTGAATGATTAAGAGTCAAAGAGAGAGCAAATCTCGAGTGGCCACTGAGGTAAAAAGAGAACCTTAAATAGAAAGTATTTCCCAGAGGAGGAGAGAGCATCAGATGCAGTCGATAGCTTGAGATGTGAGCTAATGTGGGAGCTAGGAATGTGGAGCTCAGCAGGTCTGCTACTGGGGATGGAACTCAGGGCCTGGCACACAAAGTGTTCTACTGCTGAGCTGTATCCCAGCCCTTTTAAATTTTAGTTTGAGACAGGTTTTCCTAAGTTGCCCAGGTTGACCTCATACTTGCTCTATAGCCCAGGCAGTCCTGGAACATCAATCCCCATTCCCAAATTGCCAACATTACAAGCCTATACCATCTTACCTGAGTCTTACTATGTCATTGCCAAGACCTATTGCATATGGTAGGGTGGTCTAAGCCTGTTTGGTGTGGGTCCAGAGGGACTAGGAAAGGAAATGGACACCCTCAGAAAGCCAATCTTTCGAGGAGTTTTGCCGTAAGTGAAGCAAAGAAATTGAGGAGTAGCTGGAAGGAAGAGATGGGGTCGAGGACTTCAAGGACTCTTACTCTCTAAAATGGAAGAAATTAAAACATGTTTGCTGATAAGATTAATGTAGAATAACTACAGGAATGTGTAAGCTTTAGGATTTATGACTTGTGGCTCTGTGTGATATAAGTACTATTGTGCCACTTTTTATGCAACAACTTGTCATGTGCTGCATCCTCCAGTCCTGTGACTAGCCAGTATGGCTTTTGGTGAGAGTATAGTAAAGTACAAATTGACTTTCAAGCCAGTAGGTTTAATTTTGAGCTTTATATTTTTGTTTTTGAGGCAAAAATTTGGTGTTCTGTAAATATCAACCAGTAGGGGGGAAATGCATATGCATATGTATTTGTGTATGTATGTGCATATGTATATTTATATGTATATGTATTGAGGGGTTAAAGTACCTAGAGGCTGGAGATATCTGCTCAGCAGTTAAGAGCACTGTCTGGTTCAATTCTCAGCACCCATATGGCGAATAACAGTCTGTAACTCCAGTTCCAGGGGATCCGATGCCCTCTTCTGGTCTCTGTGGGCTTTTTACAACATGGGTGCAATACACTCATACACACAAAAATAATTTTTTAAAAATAAAAAAAAGCACCTGGTAATTTTAGAGAATTGAGGAAGAATATGTCCTTAAAAAGTATCACCCAAATCACTTGGCTTTCCTTCTAGTATGGCAGTGCTCAAATTGGGTATCCAGTATGTGTACATGGATGGGAACATAGTTAAGGTTAGATGGCTCAATCAAATGTCAAATTAAATAAAAAGCACAAAGGTATTTATTTATGTAGTTTGTTATAAATATTGTTCTTTGCAAGATATGGAGTGTATTTACATTAATGTAGGAATAACATAGAAATGTCTAATATTTGAATAGAATTAAAAATGTAAACATGTTAATTTCTCTTTTCTGACTCAGATTAAGAATTTCTTGTCAAAACGGGTGCTGATAGTGTACTTTTTCAGTAAGGTAAGAATATAAAATTACAGCATTGAAAACAGGAGTAAAGGGAAGTTTGAAGGAGCAGATAAAATTTGACTTGAAATTTTTTTTTTTTTTTTGGTTTTTTTGAAACAGGGTCTCCCTGTAGCCCCAGCTGGCTTGGAGCTCACTATGTAGACCAGGTTGGCCTTGAACTCACAGAGATCCACCTGCCTCTGTCTCCCAAGTGCTGGGACTACAGACGTGTGCCACCACACCTGGCGTCTTGTAAATATTTTATAGATTAATCTCAGCAAACCATGGAGCTTTGTGTTGGCCTCACTAATTCTGCGTTTGGACAGTCCTCTCCCTAGACATACACCTTGCCCTAGTCTTTCCCGAGGCTTGCCTCTGTAGTTGTTTTCCTGAGTTTTGGCAGCTGACAGCTTTGTGCTGATTTTCAGCATTGACCCTTTCATACTTTGTGGCTCTTGACAAAGTGAGTGATCCATGGCTTTCTTGTGCTTTATGGCTCATTTTCTTGCTAACATCTTTGTGGCCAATTTGGTATTCAAAAAAGAAAAAAATGAATTAGATGATAGGTGTTGATTTTTTTATGGATAAAAAGTTGTATTTCAGGCCACCAAGTTGCATTCAGTGTCAGGCGTGGTGGCTCATGTTTATAATCTTGGCACTTGGGGTACTGAGGCTAGAAGAGTTTGAGATCAGACAGGCAACTGCTGAGACCCTATTTTAAGAAACCAGTTATCTCAACCACCAAACAACATAAAAACCCATTTCAACTTGCCTGTCAATTTTTCCAGCTGCCCCCAGAGAATAAATCTCAATTACAGAAACCAAGGATTTACTCATGTTTTCACTTGGCTGTAGCTGCTTTATGTTCATTAATCCTTTGACTAGCAAAACTTTTTTCTACATACAGGGCAAGCTTTGTGTGTGTGTGTGTGTGTGCGCGCGCATTTAGTGTTTTACGTCTGTACCCTCTTTTGCCAGATATTGCAGAATTAGTGAATGGGCTAATGGTGTGATCAGTGCATTCAAGCAAGTTTTTGTTACTCATTTCTACTCTTCTGGAACCATACACTGGTTCCAGTGTGTGGAGAAAGACATTTGAGCAACCCTGATAGATTATAGGTACACATAAGAGCCATTTCAACTTCTTGAAATTGCCTTTTCACTACAATATAATGGTAACTAACAGTTACCTTTACATAAAACCATCTACCTATGACCATCCTTTGGAAGCGAGTATCTAGTTGCTCACCAAGAAGATGAAAGTTCTCTGAAGCTTATCTGCAGTACGTGGTTTCAAGAGAGGAAACCAAGATGGTGTGTCTTTTTGTTCTCATTTTACAGAAAGAAATTTTCTGGTTAGAGCAGAAAAAAATTTCCTTTTCCCCTGGGATTGAATGTCTACTTTTAATTCTAATTCTGCAGTAACTGTCGTATGATGAGTTGTAGACACTGCTGTTTGATGTTGAAAAGTATTGTAATAAGTTTAGGCTTCCTTGGTTATATAACCAAAGCCAGCATTTTTGTTTTGGTTTGACACAGTCTCACTAAGTTGCCTAAACTGGTTTTGAACTCATTCTTATGTAGGCCTTAAACTTGTGATCGTTTTGCTTCAGCCTCCCAAATAACTGGGATTATGGGCCTGTGCCACCTGCACCTGCTAGTATTTATTTAAATGGCTCAGTTGTTGCTTTATACTATGTGACCTAATATATTAAAGAAAGTTGGGTGGGTTTTCTTTTTATTGGACTGAGAATAGACCATTTCAGAGAGATAATATGTCCTTTTGTTTTAAAAAAGAGCTTTTGTGACTATCTTCTTAAGTGATCTTTGTATTAATCATCTGAGGTAGCTGATTTCACATAACTTACGAGAAACACACACAGATTTAGGGTTGGAGACTAAGATGATGACAGGATGCTCTGTTATAGTTAAATATTTGTATAAGAAATTATTTAGGTTTTAAAAATTTGGGGCGGTAGCTGTGACTCTTTCATCATTATTGACTACACAGCTGATAAATGACAGAGTTTTTGCACAGGGAACTTAAATATTTTGTTTTATTTGTAGCACCCAGAGGCTTCCATTCAGGCTGTTTTTTCAGATGCCCAAATGCATATTTGGGCTTTAGAAGGTAAGTGCTGTCTGTAAATTGTAACCTGTAACTATGACTTTGATTAGTTAAATATTGAAGCATGATTCATGAAAGGTCAGTTTTGGACTTTGATCTCAATTTTGTTTTATATAAATCAGTTTTCTTAGATATTCCTCCCTGGCCTTCCAGTGCTGGGGACAGAACACAAGACCTTGTATCTGCTAGGCAGAGCTCTGCCATTGAGCTACATCCACAACTCTAGATGTATTTTGATGTGGGTACAATTTTTCTTTTATATAAATAAAGATGTTGAGCCTGGGATTCTTCTATCTTTCTGTATATTTAAAAACAATGTAACCAATAGATAGTTTTTAACTTGTGGATGGTAGCTTATGTTATATATGAAAACTTAGTTGTTAAAGGACTGCTTCATCTTACAAATACTATCTTTTCAATGCTTAAGTGGTATTGAGAGGCCTTTCTCAACTTCTTTTAAAATAGCCTCACAACTGTGATAACTTTGCTTTTTTTGGCTTTATGAGAGGGTACCTGTGGGGACAGAGTATAAAGATGATTAAGATTGAGATGTTCTCTGTGAAATCAAAACTTTAATAAAAACAAATTAAAAAATTTTTTTATTAACTTTAAAATTTTATGTGTATGAGTGAATGTATCGCTTGTATTTGTGTAAGTGGACTTGTGTAATGCCTTCAGAGATCAGAAGAGGGCATTGTAATCCTCTGGAACTGGAGTGCAGATTGTTAGCTGCCATGTGGGTGCTGGGAACTGAACCAGATCCTCTGCAAGAGCAGCCAGTACTCTTAACCACTTAACCCTCTCTCCAGCCCCATCTTGGCTTTTTGAGACAGGGTCTTCCTGTAGCCTCATCTAACCTAGAGCTCCCTATGTGGACCAGACTGGCCTTGATCTTACAGAGGTCCACCTGCCTCTGCCTTGCAAATGCTGGGATTAAAGGCATGCAATACTGTACCCGGCATTTTTTTTCACTCTTTGTTTTCTTTTTATTGATTTTGTTTTGATCTCAGGATTGGACCCAGGGTGAGGTACACATCCAGTCCCTGTGTTTTGTTTTTTGTTATTATTTTTGAGGCAGGGTCTCCCTGTAGCCTCAGCTGTCCTGGAACTCACTGTATAGACCAGGCTGGCCTTGAACTCACAGAGACATGTTTGCATATGTGTCTTTAATCTCTATGTGTCTGATTATTACTAGTCACTTGTCAGTTACACTTGGATCCTTAGTACCTGAGTATAGATATAAAGCCATCAGGTAGATTTCACTGGTAATGTTTAACATAGTAACACACTCCAGAGCAAAAGTGCATCTCTTTCACAAGTGGATGTAAGTTTCTAGGATCACACTTGAATTAAAAGTTATACAATATTGAACTCAGTATAAGCCCTGTAAGACATAAAATTGAATGAGTTTTTAACCTTTAAAAAAGATCTCCATTTCATTTTAGAATATATTGTTCCTTACAGAAAGACTCATTGTTTTTGCTACTAACACTGAGATGTTGGCACATGCATCTCTAGTCTGTATGTATCTAATTATTACTAGCCATAACCGGTTTCACTTGGATCCTTGGCGCCTGTGTATGTCTATAACGTCATTAGGTAGATTTCAATAGTAATGTTTACCACCTCTACTAATTAACATGATGTAAATTTCCATGCTTCCTCCTCAAATGTAATACATTTTTAAAAATTTGTTGATTTTTGATTTGGTATGTGTATATCACACAGAACATTGCAAACCATCTTATTCAACTATACACCCACTTCCTAGATGGCAGCTATACACCCACTTCCCACATGGCACCCTCCCATAGCCTCCCTTCCCCACTAGAGAGTCCTTATACTCTGATATCCCTGCTACTGTCTGCTGTGTTGTCGGCACCCCCAGCCATTGCCCACTACTTGTCCATCTGGTGAATCTAGTCAGCCTATCTAAGATTGAGGAAGGTCATCTGTTCCTCATCTGGCAGCAATCAGTTGTCAATATTCCTTTAGATAGGATTGGGGTCTGCTGTTCATTTTCCCAGTTCTATGCTGGGTTACTATCTGGGAGTCTCTTTGGCCACCCTGGCCAACAACTCAAAAGCAGGTATAGCCTGTCTGGCATTGTTGCTTGTTATGTAGCCTTTAGCTATACA